CTCAAGCAGGCTCTGCACCATCAGCACAGACCCCGATGTGGGGCTCGAACTCACTGACCATGAGCTCATGACCTGAGCTGAAGTCAGACGCTTAACCGACTGAGCCACCCAGGTGCCCCTCCAATGACAGTATTTTCTAATGTAGTGGGTTAAATAAACTATATTACTAAAATGTATTTCATCTTCTTTTTATTTAAGTGGCCACTAGGAAAATTTTAAATTACTTATATAGGATGCACTACGTTTCTATTGGATAGTGCTGTTCTAGACTATAAGCTCCAGGAGGCCCCTCCTCTGCTTTAGATCAGAGCTGTATGTCCAGCTTACAGCGAGACTCAGCACACGGTGACTGGCCATAGATACCTGAGGTGTGAAGGAATAGAACTCACTATCTTATGTATGTGATCCTCTTGAGGGAAGAAATTTCTTATTCCTCACTGTGTCCCTATTCTCAGCACAGCAGCCTGACAAGTATTTTTTTTGAATGGACAAGTGAACTTGATTCTTCCAGCTTCTGTGCTCCCGGCTTGATTCAGCTATATAACTCCCACCAGCTGCTTCATCAGGGCCTCTGTGACCAAGCACCTATTTTCTGATGGGATCATGGCTCTTCCTGACCCTAATCCTGGTTCTTGGGCCACTTTGGTAACACTCGGTGAAGGTTTCCTTAAGCTCGGGAGACCTAGGATGATGACTCTGTTTCAGACGCAACAGTAAAGAAGGAGACAGTTACAGTTGATATTTTGGTGTTGGCTGAAATATGCCTATTGTCTCTCTCCACGTCAGGTTCACAAGTTCAAGACTAAAGATTGTTGAATTAGATGGGGAGTATTTTAGGAAAGCTGGAAACCAGGCAACGTGAAGCAGATGGACAGAATAGTAAAGTACCCTAATTTCCAGTTTTCCAGTACAAACAAGCATCTGACAACCTCAGATGCGCATGCTATTTATGAAATCGGCCTGCAACATTTTTCACTACTTACTATGCCAATGCGAAACGAGCTGAGCCACTCACTAGAAGTAAGACAGGTCCCTTCGTTTCTCTGAGCCTTGGTTTCCTCCCTTATAAAATGGAAGGTAATTAAATCTACCTCACTGGGCTGTTGCGAAGATAAAATGAGATAATTATATAGACGGGCTTACTTAGTACAGCGCGTGGCATGCAATCCAAGTTCAATCAGTGGGGGTGGTGATTACCACCAAGTCCTACAGGGATATCTGCAAATGAGCAAAGAGGACAGTATTTATGGTGTCACGTTGACAGATGAGTCTATCATAATGACATATTTGTTCTTCATGCTAACTAGCAACATGCAAGACGTACTCATCAAATAAAAATAGCTGATATTTATCGAGCGCACACTATGAGGCAGGTACTGTGCTATGCATTCAACATGCATCATCTTATTTAACCCTAACTATTGGGGGTAGGTGCACAGGGTCAAATCACAGAACCAGAAACTGAGGCCCCAGGAGGCAAAATAACAGGCTCCAGGCCCCCACGGCGATTGAGGGACAACGCGCTAATTCAACAGGCTCTAAATGATTTCATCAGGCTGCTTCCTAATGCGGGTGTAGTTAGGTATCCTGGTGACACGGTGTTTGTAATCACGGGGACAGAGAGGTCTCCATGAGCCCTTTCTGGTGCACACGGTCAAGACCACGATTGGCCTCATTCCACATCCTTGATTGCTGATTGAGCTGCTTGTGTATGTCAGGCACTGAACTGGTAAGTAACACCCTTGAGGCTGTTAGGTGCAGAGACTCGTCTGGCTCCCCTGGCAAAGGCACAGTGGTGGTCAATGTAAGGTCTCTGGTAAGAAAAATAGGAAGACAGGAGTCTTGGTCACTTGGCCATGCCTTGCAAAAATTCAGGGACAGCTGAACCCCGAGCCTTCTGGAACATTAACGTGGTTTGGAGATTGGAGTATCGTTCTTCCCCATAAGCGTTCTAGAAATGGCTCCCTCCCTCGCAACGGGAGCTTAGTGCTCTGCACTTTTGGATTCTGTGGTTAAAGGGACTCAATTCCTGCCTCTTCCTGTTTCTGCAACCGACTACTCTGGCTCTTCACATACTCATCACATTTCCCCAGAGGAAAACCTGTTCTTAGTACTATAAACCAAGGTCACGGGTTAGCACTTCCTGTTGGTGCTTCCCTAATCCACTGAGCTGTGGGTGGGAGGGCGACAGGGCTAGAGTTGGCAGGTGTAGAGCCTGCCCTCAAGACAGGCACAGCCTCCATTGCAGCCACTCATGATCAGGTACGGCACTGCAGCGGCCTCATTGGCTGGTTCCTGGGCCTGGTACCCCAAAGTTTCCTGACACCCCATCCATGCTGTGAGGGAGGCAGGCAGGCTGCTATGAACACCCAGAGGTGAGAGGCCCTCCCTAGACTCAAATGACACCTCCCGGGTGAGGCCTTCCCCGTCCACTCAGTTTCAAATGATGCTCTTCCTCTTGCCCCAGACTTCCTGTTCGTTTCCCTGCTGTATTATTCTTTTGCTCAGCCCTTCTCCAGCAAACTACACAGTTTAGGACGTTGTTTATGGTCTCAGTCCTCTGAAATGAAAGGACCATGAAGGCAGGGGGTTGCTTTTTTGCCTTCTCTCGTAGCCCAGTTCCGAGAATCGTGCCTCCCACGGTGGACACTTGGTATGAATGAAAGGCGGGGCAGACAATCCACTCTGGCTGGAGGTTTAGCCAAGGAAGGCTTCTTGAAAGAAGTGACGCAAGCTGAGTCAGGCCAGCATCTGAAACGGGGGGTGCATCCCAAGCAGGCAGGCCGGGAAAAGGGGAGCACGTTCGGGAACCTTCAGTAGTCGCATGGCTGGGGCCTTACGGTGCTGGTGCAGTGTGGCGTGTGACAGGAGGGTGGACAGGCATGCCATGGGCAGTGAGGAGGGTCCCTCATGTACCCTGGAGGATGGGCAGTCTCCGCTAGGGCTGAGGGTCAGGTGGGGCAAGGGTTGCAGAGGGCGGGGGAGGGCAGAGGGCCGGGGGTGAGGGTGATTTACAGTTTGAAAGTCAACGAGTTATTTTTCGAGAAGAGCTGTGCTCTGAGCGTATCCTGTGCCCGACACAGCAGTACGTGCTTCCAGCGTGCTAGCTCCCTGACCCCACATCCCGTCGTGGTACTAGGGTGCAAAGGATGAGTGGGCCTTCCACAGCCTGACCCGTGGGGCTTACTGGGGAGGAAATTTTGGTGACCTGGGCCAAGCCAGTCAGTGATCATGCCTCTAGAGTCCCAAGACTCCTCTCCCTTGACCATTTCAGCAACCAAGGCGACGTCACCTCTTCCCTCCTTCCCAAACACTCCGTCACTGCCCCCTCCTACAATGGCAGCAGAGATCCCCCAGGCCATAGGACAGAGGTGCAGGGCAGGGGGTGGGGGTGGGGGTGTAGGGAGTTAAGAAAACAAACAGAATAAAGAAGGGTCTGCTACTGAACGCGGACAGGAATCTGCTACCGAACCTGACAGGAAACTAGTTGGCAACGAAGGGCCAGTCAGTATCACGGAAAGACGTCTACAGAGATCAAGGCCACAACCAACAGCTAGACGTCACTGAAAAGGAGGGAACTTTGGCCCAGCTGGGGAAAGTGCATTCATTTTTCACTAGAGGGCCAGGGGAACGGGTGGAGGACACTGGCCCAGAAAGAAGGGGAGTAGGAAGGAGGGGGCTCTTCAAGAGAAATAATGGGTGATGACAGGCCCTTGGGTAGGAATTGAGGAGAGGGGCGAGGCAGAAATAAGGATCTCTGCCCAAACTGGTGGGGAGAGTAGATCCTTTAGCCCCCAAGAATGCCTCCTGTTGACTGAGGCCATCAAGGCCTTGAATTCACAAAGGTAGGCCTGACCACCTGGGTTTGACCTCAGCCCCCATCAAAGTGATTTCAATTTCCATGGAAGGAATGGACAATCAGCCCCTCCCTCTCTACCTTTGGGAGAGCTCCTCTGTGTGGACCTACCCACAGGTGGTGAGGCGCAGGAGTGCTTAGCACACCACTGCCATTACTTCACCGAACAGAACTCTCAAAGGCCAAACCTGCTTTGTGGGAACAGTAACAGAAATCCCGACACCTGGCTTTTGCCTACCCCAGCCCCAGAGTTCTCCAAGGGACGGTGTTCCTCATCCACGCCATGCCTACCCCTGCTTAGAACCATCCCCTGAAATTCCCCCGGGGAACCCTCCTCCCCAGAGCTCAGAGCACTCCTGCCTCCTCTGTCTCTATGTCCACTTCACTGTCATCCTCTTTTCCAAAGCCCTGGCCCAGACGTCCTTCAGCCAATGACTCTAACATTTCCCTTTTCTCCCAAACCTGAGCCCCCCCAGAAGCACTTGGGATTGTTCAACCCCTACTTCAATTCCTACATCCCAACTCCTAACCCCGAAGTTGAGACTTAGGAGTGCATTAAATGGAACATTTCAGTGAGTAAAAAATGGAAGATCTGCTTGTGACCCACTTTCTGTATACCTACCTTGCTGGCACATGGAGGTATGAATTTATTATTTTTAAAAATTTTTTAATTTTATTTTTGAGAGGTAGAGAGATAGAGTACGAGCAGGGGAGGGGCAGAGACAGAGGGAGACACAGAATCTGAAGCAGGCTCCAGGCTCTGAGCTGTCAGCACAGAGCCTGACGCAGAGCTCGAACTCAAGAACCACGATATCATGACCTGAGCCAAAGCCGGATGCTCAACCGACGGAGCCACCCAGGCGCCCCTGGAGGTATGGGTTTTAAAATTTTTTTTTTTCAACGTTTATTTATTTTTGGGACAGAGAGAGACAGAGCATGAACAGGGGAGGGGCAGAGAGAGAGAGAGGGAGACACAGAATCGGAAACAGGCTCCAGGCTCTGAGCCATCAGCCCAGAGCCTGACGCAGGGCTCGAACTCACGGACCGCGAGATCGTGACCTGGCTGAAGTCGGACGCTTAACCGACTGCGCCACCCAGGCGCCCCTGTATGGGTTTTAAAAGAGAAGCAAAACAAAACGAGGAGGGCAGTTTCAAGATTTATTGGGTGGGTGAGAGGACAAGGATGCACAGTGCAGAAAACTCTTGGTTGTAAAAAGTTACAGGAGGAATAGGCAGGGGCACGTGGAGCCTGCTGGACACCTGGCTCAGGTGGAAGGGAACCAGTCTTCCTGGTCCCAGGTGCTGTGTGACACCTGCTGGGGGAGCGGCAGAGCCAGCTGAAGTCTCTAGCTCTGGACCTCAAGTCTCCAGGGTCCCAGGACTTTCCCTCTGGCCTGCTCACGCAGAGAGAAAAGTCCCTCCAGGCTGTGCTGAGGCAACAGGATAAGAAGGTCTGGCCATGGTTCACGTGGCGACATCATTCTTCACTCTGCCAGTGTCCATGATCAACTCCGAAATAATCTAAGGCAGAAAAGTCCAATGAGACCAAGTGCTTGGAACTTCTGTATCACTAACACAGGCCAACTTAGCCCCTTGGCATTAACTCACCATGAAGAGGTCCCTCCAGGGCAGCTGGGACCCAGGTCATCCTGAGAGGACCAATGCTCCATCTCCTTAAGGATTCTTCCAACAATCTCTAGATCCGAGGCAGCATCCCTAGGGTGAAGAGCAGAGGGTCACAACATGCGTTTGGTGTCCAATGTTATCTCTCAACTGTCTTCAAGCTGCTATCAGTGAGAATGCCCCCATTCATCAGGGACGAGCCGCCAGTTTTGTTTCACACCAAACACAGCTCAAAAATGAATCTCAATGTTCCCAGAGAAGGGTCAAAATAAAACGATCTCTTAACAATTGGGCCTTTGCAGGGCAAGAGCAGATATAGTAATTGGTAGAGAGGTGGCTGGAGGGCTCAAGCTCAGAGGCTCCTCCCACTGAGCCCCCATTCCCCATGTTGGGAGTGAAGGCCACCACCGCAGCCTCTCTCCACTGTCTATTACATCCCTGCACATCTGTCTCCCAAGTGCTTGTGCTCATCCCTGCGTCAAACTCCTTCTCGTGTTGCTCCCCCCACCACCCAATACCTTTCTATTTCCCATCACGTTCCACCCCTTCAAAGGTGTGCACAGGGCCACCATATCCAAAAAGAGACTTCCCTTTGAAAACGTTATGGCAATCAGTATAAACCACCCAGTATCGCGTAACGTCATCATGCAGAATTCATCCTGGCTCCTTAAACCCCAGAAAGTTTTGAAATCTCGACACCGACATAGCCCGTTTTCCCGTAACAGGAGGCCAAGCTGAGAAAGGCCAAGCTCAAGTCTCCCGTCATTGACTCTCACACAGCAGCCCTCAATGCCTGAGACCACACAGCACTAGCTGGGGGAGAAGCAGGAGTGTGCGAAAGCGCCAGCATTTGAAAGGGATGGGAGTAGACCCTCCAAACACGGGAAACTGCTTTCAACAATTCCTCTCCCTGCATTATCAATGACCAGAGCACAGACAGCCCGTGATCGCTTCTGAATGCAGGTGCATGCAAGGGTAGAGAGAGAGAGAGAGAGACCTAGGAAGGGGAGCAGGTGCTACTGGCCTGTGGAATAGGTGGAATCTGGGAAAACCACCCAAGCACAGGACCCCGTGAGTGGCCACTCTTTCTTGCAAAAGCCCCATAGAACCTCCCTGCCAAGTGGAATCAAAGAAAAGTCACTTTGGACACAAACACTGGGAAAATATTAGGGTTGGAAACGATAGGGATCCTGTGGTTTTAAGCAGCACAGAAGTCACTACTATCATAAGTTTGTTTTATTTTTTTTTTATTTTTATTTTTTTAAAGTTTATTTATTTTTGGGACAGAGAGAGACAGAGCATGAACGGGGGAGGGGCAGAGAGAGAGGGAGACACAGAATCGGAAACAGGCTCCAGGCTCTGAGCCATCAGCCCAGAGCCTGACGCGGGGCTCGAACTCCCGGACCGCGAGATCGTGACCTGGCTGAAGTCGGACGCTTAACCGACTGCGCCACCCAGGCGCCCCATAAGTTTGTTTTAAATGAAGAAAATAAGGTTCTGAATAGATCACTGGCTTAGAGAGCAGCAGAAGGGGATTCAAACCCAGGGGACGGGAGACTCTGATGCATGGGTCCACTCGTTTCCCATTAAAAACATGCTTCTGCCGTCACTCCAGGGAGGGAAGGTAGATACCCCAGAGAGCTCTCATCACCCAGTGAGACTCTGGAGGCCTTTCCTCTGCAGCAGCCATTGAAGACATGTCAGGGACCAGATGTGATCTAGGTTACCTGGGGCTGAGGTGGGGAACAGATCTGAGGACTCATGGACATTACCTTCTCACTTCTCAGCTCCCCTATACCTTCTTAGGAAGCCCCTAGGAACCCCCACATGATGGTACCAGATGCAAGGAACCAACACTCCAGAGAACAAACCAGAGATCTTACCTCAAGGACACTGGGGTCTAGAATGTTCCTGATAGAACTCCCATGATGTCTCTCCACACAGTGGGCTCATCTGCAATAGACAAGAACCCAAGAATGGGCCCGCAACATGTCCCTGCTCACACCAGGGCAGGGCAGGGCAAGCATCAGGAAAGGTCTCAGCACAGTAGTTAGCAGATAGTAAAGTAAGCATTTGACAACGATCGGCTGTTATTATTTCCTAAACAGACGTGCTATTTCCTCATAGAGAAGACAGTAGTTAACCCTACTATCCTAGGAGGAGACAGTGCTTGGTCTATGACAGGGTGGCCAATGCCGATTAATGCAGAATTAACCAGTGAGAGGCTGGAAAGGACGTCAATGCCGGATTTATGGGAGTGCCGTGGCTGTCTGACAACAACTATGCTGGGCCTCGAGGAGAACTCAAGTGACACATATAGCCTGGTTCCCAACAGCAGGGGCAGAAGTGAAAGCTCCAACAGTGACCCTAACGTATACACAACTGCCCCGAGGGCCCTGGGGGCCCAAGGTGTCTACAGAGAAGAAGGGATGTGGGAAAACTCCTGGAAGGCGTGGACGTGGAGCCTCCAAACACAGGACAACTCTTTCCCTGAATCCTCTGCCTGAATTACCAGTGAGCCCGACATTGGCACCAAGTGACATCTAAAAGTGGGTAGGAGGGGCGCCTGGGTGACGCAGTCGGTTAAGCGTCCGGCTTCAGCTAGGTCACGATCTCGCGGTCCGTGAGTTCGAGCCCCGCGTCGGGCTCTGGGCTGATGGCTCGGAGCCTGGAGCCTGTTTCCGATTCTGTGTCTCCCTCTCTCTGCCCCTCCCCCGTTCATGCTCTGTCTCTCTCTGTCCCAAAAGTAAATAAATGTTGAAAAAAAAAATTTAAAAGTGGGTAGGAAAGAGGAAGTGCAGGAAAGCCCCAGGTTTGGAAGGGACAGGAGTGGACGTTCCCAAGATGGGGAAACGCTTTTAGCAATTCCCTTCCCTGCACTATCACTGACCTGGACACAGGCAGCCCATGTCAGTAGCCTATGTTCCCAGGCAGAGGAGAGCTGCCCAGCCAAGCCCAGGACCCTGAGCGCCATCACCATCTCATGTAAAGACGCCATCTCCCGTCATCAAGAGGGGGCACGTGAAGACCAACTCGCGGCAAAAACGCCTACATTGTTTAGTCCCCCACAGATACAGACGGACGATCTACTACGGGCCACCAACCGTGGGCTCAAAGACAAAGAACACAGACGAGACTTCTGTCCTCCCAGAGCTCTGGCAGTTTCCCCACTTAAAACACAGCGGAGCTCAGAAGGCACCTCTAGCCAACGTGATGCGCTCGCCACAGGCTGAGGCAGGATCTGAACCCAGACCTCTCTGGCCCCCAGACACACCCCCATCCACCACACCAGGCCTCCTCGGGGCTTTCTCAGGACCCGCAGGAGCTCCAGGACGCCCCCCACCCACCCAAACCCCCCACCGTGGTGTGGCAGGAAGGCAACGAGTCCCCTGCTCAAGGATCTCCTGAGCAGCAGCACTTACCCAGGCCTCACCCCCCGGACACCGCGGGGGCACATCCGGCGCTGCGGCTCAGGGTCCTGCAGCAAAGAAGGGGGCGCTGCCTGACGCACAGCCCCCAAAGCCGTCCAACGGAGACTTTCCATCTGCTTCCAACAGAGCCCCAGAGCCCGCAACGCCTACGCAGGAGACAGCACCAGGAAGGGGCTTTAGTGCAAAACAAAGACACCGGAATCGGCCTCTGCCGCCCTGGGGCCCCACGAGCGCCCCCAATTGAAAACTCACACAACCGCTCTGCACAACGGGGGTTTTAACGCTTTCTCTTAAAGGCTGTTTGTTGACAAGAAAACGGGCTAACGCTCACATGGTCACTTCGTGGGCAACCGATGAAGCGCTTTGGGGGATTCGAGGCCCAGAGCCGGAGGTGGGTGTGTGCGTGAAAATCACGCGGCCCCGGGAGCTCTTCAGGCCCGGGGCCACACGGGGCTCCGCACCACTGGCGGCGGCACACGGCCCGCACGTCGCCGGACCCGCTTCTGGTAGTTGGCGGGACACGAGTCTTCCCCGCGCGCGGGGGATCAGACCAGGAGTCCCATTCTCGGGGACACGCATCCCGAGAGGTCCGCAGCCGGCGGAGGGGCTGGGCCCGGACCCAGGAGCGGGGCCTGAAATCGGGGCTGACCTCCGCCGGCTCTCCCCGTCCCCTCGGGCCTCAGTTTCTCCTCCTGTCGGGGGGGGGGGGGGGATGATGCACCGGCCTTGGGAGGCCGCGGAGGGGTTTCCTGTGCATCGCGGCCCCGGAGCGACTCACCCGGGGAGCCGGGCCTGTCACCGGCAGGGTCAGAGGGGACGGCGCGAGACGGTGCGGCACGCCTCGGAATCGTTCAGGACTATTTGGGAAGCAGCCACTGCCGCAGGAAACTGCTATACCCGGACCGCGCCGGCGGAAATGCAGCTCGACGGCGGGCTGCGCCCTAGAGAGCCATCTCCCGGGCTGAACGCGCGCGCTGCCTCTTATCGCCCCCTGGTGGATAGGAGGTCAATATCTGACCCGCCAAGTATCCAACCCTTCACTTTCCCATCGCCGCATCCATCCATCCATTTACCCCTAAGAGAAAATAGTTAGAGGGCACCAACTTTCTCATCCATCCCTCCACCTACGCACTCATCCATTCATCCATCTAGATGTTCATCTAGACTCCCATCCGCACAGAAAAAATATACTGAGCGGCTACTTCATGTTAGGGACTGGGCTAAGCACTGGACATGTATTGCAGAAGACAGGGTTCTGATATATTTTGTTGCTGGTATATTCTCGTGGAGATAATGAATCAGCAAATGCAATAATTTAAAATCATGACAAGTGCTACAAAGGAAGTGGGCATGGTGGTATAATAGTGGGGACCTACTTAGCCAGGGCCGACAGCAACGGCCTGCCGGAGGAAATGGTGTAACAGTGTTTTTCATAGCATGCTGTCACTGCAATGCCCCATCCCATCAACGCTACAGATGACAGCTACAACCATAATATCAACTAATAATGACTAAGTGTTGAATGCACCCAATATTCCAGGCATTTTGATTCGTTTAATCACGTCAATCATATAAGATAAACCCTACTATTATTAATTTTGCCGATGAGGAAACAAAAGCTCAGAAAGCTTAATTCATGTATACAAGATCACGCAGTTAACGTGTTAAGAAGTGTGCATGAGGGGCGCCTGGGTGGCGCAGTCGGTTATGTGTCCGACTTCAGCCAGGTCACGATCTCGCGGTCCGTGAGTTCGAGCCCCGCGTCGGGCTCTGGGCTGATGGCTCAGAGCCTGGAGCCTGTTTCCGATTCTGTGTCTCCCTCTCTCTCTGCCCCTCCCCCGTTCATGCTCTGTCTCTCTCTGTCCCAAAAATAAATAAAACGTTTAAAAAAAAAATTAAAAAAAAAAAAAAAGAAGTGTGCATGATCTGAGAATGAACCCTACTTGTGAGCTAACCGGTTAGCCTGTGGTTTGGTAGGTGCTGGCAGAGGACAGAAAATTCCTGAGGCAGTCTGAGGACCTTATTACTGTGGCAAAGCAGAGAGGGCTTTAAGTTTCTCGATGTTGTTGGTTCCCATGCCTCCGAGGTCCCATGGAGTGGTGCAGGGCCCATGATGGCTGCCTGGACACACAATGCGTTACAGTGTTACAAAAGAGGAACACTGAGCTTGGGGGATTTGCCACTTGGAGCAAAAAGAAGTAAGCCTGCTTTTAGTGTGGGAGGAGACTTTATCTCATCCTTCAAGGTTTGCTCACTGCAAAACACAGCTCTAAGAAAGGGCCTGGGGGAAAAAGGAGTCACCGGCCTTGCATTGTTCGCATGGCCACAGGGCCCCGTGGCAAATTGCTTCTCCTAAACAGAAGATATCAGAGTCACAATTCAAACCCAGAAATCAATCTAAGAGCAATTTAATAGGTGCTTAAAAATGTGTTTGGTAATATTTAATTTCTCTTTTTTTGGTAATACTTCATTTCTATTCCTGACCAGGAAAGTATATTTCGGCATACTTGGATTAAACGAATGCTCTCCTCATGTGATACAGACCATGACCAGCCAACAACATTACATTTCAATGCCTACATTTAGAGGTATTCTTGGAAAAACTAGGACCAACAAATTGCCTATTTTCATGAGAATCTGGATATTAAGTGGCTGGACTATCCAGAGTTTGGACTTAGTCACTCTTTCTCCCTGGTTTTCTTGTGGCACTCTTCCTGTTGAATTCAGTCGAGTTGTAAATGTCACTTACGGTGTCCTGCCCTCCGCTGACAAAAAACTGGAGACCCAAGCTGGGTAGGTCATACTTTCTTCCTTGATTTTGCATGGTGAATGTGAGGAAGTATGGATCCAAAAGCAGCTGTGGAACCATGAATAGAGTTATCCCTCTATTAATTCCCAGAAAGGTGGCTTCTTGGAAGTGATATGCTTTGGTAGGTTATTGAAGGGCTCACGTAGAAAGGGAGAACAGGAAGAAGTTCGGGGAAAGGGAGGAAGAAGAATCTGAAGCTGAAGTCGGGGAAGGGGCAGAGGAATAGTATGCGAAGTAGTTAGTGTTGTGCCCAGAATTCGTGATCCCCAAAGACCACCAGGGAGCCGAGTCCGATGCAAAAGCAAAAGAGCCTTTATTCGAGCTAGCTCCAGCTCAGTCCCCTACCCGCACGGACGCGGACGCAGCGGTGAGATACCAGGGGGAGAGAGAGAGAGAGAGAGAGAGAGAGAGAGAGTTTCAAAAGCACAAAGATTTTATAGGGGTCTAGGGGCAGCCGATTGGCTGGGGAAGGGGCGTGGCCTCGGCCGATTGGTTGGGGAAGGGGCGTGTTTTGATCAGGAAGCTTGAATGGGTGAGCGGGAGGTCACTCAAAGGGAGGAGGCGTGGTCTAGGTGAAGGACACAGAACAAGATGGAGCCAGCCGGCGTAGGCCTGCCCTTTCAGTTAGGAACTGGATGGGGTCTTACCTCGACATCTCACTGCATGGCCTGTAACAAATGAGCTTTATTTTTTATTATATTTATTTATTTATTTATTTAAGACACTTTTTTAATGTTTATTCATTTTTGAAAGACAGAGAGAGACAGGCACAAGCAGGGGTGGGGCGGAGAGAGAGGGGGACACAGAATCTGAAGCAGGCTCCAGGCTCTGAGCTGTCAGCACAGAGCCCGACGCGGGGCTCGAACTCACAAACCGTGAGATCATGACCTGAGCCGAAGTTGGATGCTCAACCGACTGAACCACCCAGGCGCCCCAATTAATTTTATTTTTTTCATGTTTATTTATTTTTTTGAGAGAGAGAGAGAGAGAGAGAGAGAGAGAGAGAGAGAATGCGCATGCTCATGAACAAAGGAGGGGCAGAGAGGGGGAGGACAGAGAATCCTAAGCAGGTTCCACACTGTCAGCGCAGAGCCCGGTGCAGGGCTTCAACTCACGAACCATGAGATCATGACCTGAGCTGAAACCCAGAGTGAGATGCTTAGCTGACTGAGCCACCCAGGTATGCCAATAGATGAGCTTTAAATGTTGACACAGGAAAAGAGAAATCCTCATTCTTGCTATGAAAGAGGGACTCACTTAATTCTAAAATACAAGAAGAATTCCATCTGTCTGCTCATAGCACTGGAGGCGTTAGAAAAATAATAAGAAAAAAGGACACTCGAAAGATCTAAATAGAGCAAATCAATGAAATTACAAAAACAGAAAATAAAATGGCAGAAAATGAACATAACCATACATAGAGCAGCAGAGGCAAACAATTTTAGGAATGAGAAAGGGGTCATAGCATGATATTATACATGGAAAATCCGATAGACTCCACCAAAAGTCTGCTAGAACTGATACATGAGGGGCGCCTGGGTGGCTCAGTCGGTTAAGCACCCGACTTCAGCTCAGGTCATGATCTCGCGGTCCGGTCCGTGAGTTCGAGCCGCGCGTCGGGCTCTGTGCTGACCGCTCAGAGCCTGGAGCCTGTTTCGGATTCTGTGTCTCCCTCTCTCTCTGACCCTCTCCCATTCATGCTCTGTCTCTCTCTGTCTCAAAAATAAACGTTAAAAAAATTAAAAAAAAAAAAGAACTGATACATGAATTTAGCAAAGTTGTGGGATACAAAATCAATGTACAGAAATCAGTTGCATTCTTATACACTAATAATGAAGCAACAGAAAGACAAATAAAGAAACCGATCGCATTCACAATTGCACCAAGAAGCAAAAAATACCTAGGGATAAATCTAACGAAAGATGTAAAAGATCTCTATGCTAAAAACTATAGAAAGCTTATGAAGGAAATTGAAGAAGATATAAAGAAATGGAAAAACATTCCGTGCTCATGGATTGCAAGAATAAATATTGTCAAAATGTCAATATTGGGGCCCCTGGGTGGCTCAGTCGGTTAAGCGGCCGACTTCGGCTCAGGTCACGATCTCGCGGTCCGTGAGTTCAAGCCCTGCGTCAGGCTCTGTGCTGACAGCTCAGAGCCTGGAGCCTGTTTCAGATTTTGTGTCTCCCTCTCTTTGACCCTCCCCCGTTCATGCTTTGTCTGTCTCTGTCTCAAAAAAATAAATAAACGTTAAAAAAAATTTTTTTTTAAAAATGTCAATACTACCCAAAGCTATCTACACATTCAATGCAATCCCAATCAAAATTGCACCAGCATTCTTCTCGAAGCTAGAACAAGCAATCCTAAAATTCATATGGAACCACAAAAGGCCCCGAATAGCCAAAGTAATTTTGAAGAAGACCAAAGCAGGAGGCATCACAATCCCAGACTTTAGCCTCTACTACAAAGCTGTAATCATTAAGACAGCATGGTATTGGCACAAAAATAGACACATAGACCAACGGAATAGAACAGAAACCCCAGAACTAGACCACAAACGTATGGCCACCTCATCTTTGACAAAGCAGGAAAGAACATCCAATGGAAAAAAGACAGTCTCTTTAACAAATGGTGCTGGGAGAACTGGACAGCAACATGCAGAAGGTTGAAACTAGACCACTTTCTCACACCATTCACAAAAATAAACTCAAAATGGATAAAGGACCTGAATGTGAGACAGGAAACCATCAAAACCCTAGAGGAGAAAGCAGGAAACGACCTCTCTGACCTCAGTCGTAGCAATTTCTTACTTGACACATCCCCAAAGGCAAGGGAATTAAAAGCACAAATGAACTATTGGGACCTCATGAAGATAAAAAGCTTCTGCACAGCAAAGGAAACAACCAACAAAACTAAAAGGCAACCAACGGAATGGGAAAAGATATTTGCAAATGACATATCGGACAAAGAGCTAGTATCCAAAATATATAAAGAGCTCACCAAACTCCACACCCGAAAAACAAATAATCCAGTGAAGAAATGGCAGAAAACATGAATAGACACTTCTCTAAAGAAGACATCCAGGGGCGCCTGGGTGGCGCAGTCGGTTAAGCGTC